AAAAAAAAAAGCCCCATTGTTGTCATGTGTCCTTTGAGAAAATCTACCCTGATGACCCCTTTGGGGTCCCCACAAAGTCTCCAGACCCCTCTGCCTTGAATGGAACTGGCTCGGCAGATCCCTCAGCAGCCACTGTTTTGAGGGGCCCCTGTGGAAACGTTTTAAGGTGCCCTCCAGAGACGAAGACAGCACATTACTAGGGAACGTGTCTGCTGCCATCCACTCCCTGCAGAGACACTTCAACACGCGTTGTTTGGAAACAGCCTGTGCGTGTAGGAACCGGAACCCTGGTAGCAATCCTCTTAACTTACCCATAGCTATGCTGCACAGGCTTGAGTCTCCGTTTCTTGTGGGAGATGGTTTTTCCCCACCCACGAGCCCTGGGGAACTCCAGCTTCCTTGAGGCGTCCCTGGAACCTGATGGTCTTTCGTGAGAGGCAGCTCTTTGAAGGTCAAGGCTTTGAGCGGTTTCCCAGAGCTCCCCATGGGCTCCAGGCCTTGTCCCTTGTCACCGTGTAGGAATCCAAACTCTCGCTCCTGACCCTACAGCCCGCACGCAGCCCTCCAGGCCGAAAAGCCAGTGTCTGTGGGCTTTTGTTTTCTTTGTTTCTCTAGCACCGGGCATGGCCATTGCTTTCTGTTGAGTTCAGATATGATACTTTATCAAGCATGTCTATGAAAATATAGGGTGAGGCTAGCTTGGGCAACAGTTCAAAGTCACTCCGTGGATTAGGCTGCTAAAAGGAGGGTGTCAAATGACTAGACCTAGTTCTTGTCATGGAGAGATGCCAAGTCTAAGAGGGAAAACATACTCATTAAAATTATAATATAATTAAATATATGCCAATTTAGGATATATATGTATATATCCACCTACTTCAGAGATGCACATTCTGAATGACGTAAGAGGCTGAACTCCAGCCCCCCTGGGCTCTACAGCGTGTCTGTATCCTTGTTTGCTTCTATCTTTCTATCTGGCAAAATTTGATTGGCCTGGGCTTTGTCAACTTACACAATCACTTTTTGGAAGAGAATAAAAATAAAACATCATCAACCTCGATCTGCACAACAAACTTTGGTGACAACTGATGTCAACCCCAAGAACTCGGGACAGGGTCTAAACCCTTACTTCTGAAGTTACGAGAGGTCGCTTGTTTGGGTTTTTAGGGTGGAGTTAGAAGTGGTTGCCAGAGTCACTCCCCCTCTCTCCGTGGCCCGATGTGGACTTGTTGAATTGTTTTAGCTCATGGAGGTCCTCTGTGTTTATGATCCCAACTCACGACCCAAAACACAAAAACGCGAAGCACCGTTGATTCTGACTCACGGTGACCCTGCAGGCAGAGTGGAACTGCCCATGGGTTTCTCAGGAGCAAAAAGCCTCATCAGCCTCCCAGCAAGAGACTGATGGGTTCCAGGTGCTGACTGGGTGGTTCACAGCTTGTGACCACAATTAACTAAGGGGCAGGACCCAGAAAGGGAAGCTTCGCTTGAGAAACCTTGCCCTTGAGACAGAAACAAAATACAATGACATCCTTCAAGTCCTCCCTTGCCCTCTCCGTCAATACAGGAGGAAAATTAAAAAGATGAAAGAAATGAACGCATGCTCTCTGGATTCGACGTCCATTTCTCTTGTTAGATTAGTAGTTCCTCTTCTCTAGCTGTCTCTCAATTTCTCTGTTCCCCTAAGACAGCCTTGGTTCTCTGCTCTGCATTCCTCCTTTCCCTGTGCCTTCCGCTACTGCCAAACAGTCGGTGGCCCCAAAGCTGACTTCAACTCCAACACCCTTCTGAAGCTGCTGCCCAAATTTTATTTACCTGCTGGATAGCGCCACCTAGTGGTCACCAAGATACTCCAACCTCCACGCTGCACTCAACCTTAACCCTTCTCCTTGAGCTCCCTCGGGCCCCCACCCTTGTCCTCTGCTTCTTCTCATTCTCTATTTTCTGAGGCCGTACACCTCGAGGTCTTCTCTGACCTCTCCCCATGTCCCACCTCCTCGTGGATCCAAGTTCTCCACTTTTCCTGTCTCTCCCTTTCTCTGTCCAGCATTCAGGGCAGGCCCACAGGAGCTGGTTCCAGGCTTACTAATTAGTCATCTTGCGTCCTGCTCCTGGTCCCCTGCTCCCACTGCCACAGTCTATTCTGACACACGACGGACGGCTCAGTCAAGTGACGAAGTCAGCTGACACCCAGTCAAGCAGATCCACGCCATAATATGTACAGGCCTCGGCCAATCAGAAGACCGAGGGGGAAGGGGAGCTTCCCTAGTGTGCGCTCAACCTCCAGGCGCCAAGTGGACATTGTGCTGGAACATTCTTATTCTTCAAGCTGTTTGCAACATGGCCTATGAATTTGGAGATGAAAACCCCTGAGAGTCTCCAGTGTGCCACCTGACTTACAGATTTAGGACTTGCCAGCCCCACCAAATGAGGGGATTTCTGGAAGTAAAACAGACTGTCTCCCTCCACCTCTCTCTACACACCTCTCTCTCCCTCCCACCCCCCTCCCTCCTTCTCTCCCTTCCTCCCAAATGGCTGTGTTTTTCCAGAGAATTCTTGATGAAAACATTAGGCTCCCGGCTTTGCTTACAGAAATGGACAGGGAGCGTGGGGACACTTCTCTTTCAACATCAGTGTGTAAACTGTCCCTGACACAGATTGGCTGCGTTCCACCCCTCCTGTCCCTAAACTTTGCCTCTTGCCCAGAAACCTGCAGAGCTCCCTGTGATGAACCTATTGCCCAAGTATCCAAACATGACTTTGGGGTGGAGTTGGGCTCTGGGAGAAGGCAATCTTGACCCTCCAGAAGAAGAAGGTAAGAAGTAAGCACCTGAGAGGAAGCTCTGCTCCCTGCGAACCCCACCCCCGGCAGGCTGGCTGCTTCTATCCTGTGGAGAGCTAAGAGAACTTAGACTACGGGGGAGAAGCTGGACAGAGGGAGAGGGCAGCCAGCTGGATAAACCAGGAGTTCTTTAAGCGGAAGGATCTTATCTAATTCCTCCCTATATTCCTGAAGTCCAGAATTCAATAGATTCTCAAAAAAATATTGCTCGAGCTATTCTGTTATAAGCATTAGTCCTGGTTTTCCTGTGGTTGTGTACTGGGTCATGCAGAGGGAGGAAAGCAAGGGGAATCCAATGGCTCCGAGTCACTGAGAGAGAACTTTGAGGAGAACCGAGAAGACAGGGGTGTGGTAAGGCAGGAATGGACAGGTGCTCTGACACCCAGTCCCAGGCTGGTGGCAGGATCCAGTTGAGACAGCTGGAGTGGCATCAGGACTGAGCATGCCAACACACACACAGCCAATGCGGCATCTCTGTGCCTGCAGACCCCACGCTCCATGCCAGCATGTTCTGACGACCCAAGACCCAGTGGGCACGCCCGAAGTCTGCCACTATCTGGCAGTTCTGCTCTGGGTGCCTCAAACAGCACCTGTGATGGGAAGTGGGTGGGGACTCTACCTTCTTGCAGTCTCCCATCAGCCGCCGCTGCTCCCCCGGCAAAGATGGTTTTGACATAAATTCCAATGGGGCCATAGATGCTGTCCTTTCCCCCAACAATGCTGAAGCCCAGGCCCTGGGGAGAGAAGGGAAGAAGGGTGGCTTTAGTGTCCCCTTGTCATTCATCGGTGTGGCTCCTGCTGTGAACAAGGGAAAGAGAGAAGGGGTTCCTAGTTCCATTGTTCTAAGTGCTTAACAAAGGAATGTGAGCTGCAACAAGGAATACATTTGGGTCCAGACTGATGTTTTCCACAGCACCAGGGAAGTGGAAATGGAGCCCTGGTGGCACAGGGGTTACGCAATGGGCTGGAATCTGCAAGGTCAGCAGTTCAAAACCACCAGACGCTCCGTGGGAGAAAGACAGGGCTTGCCACTCGCATTAGCAATTAGGGACTTGGAAACTCACAGGGGCAGTTCTACCCAGTCCTGTAGGGTCGCTGTGAGTTGGCAGCGACTCCAGGGCAGTGAGTTGGGTTTGGGAGTGACGGAGAGGCAGGGATGCTGGGTGGAGATGAGCATGCCAGCTTGACCTGTAGGGCAGGCACTTCTGGGCAGGCCTCGCCCTGTCTCAGAGCTTCGCTGCCCCCTCTTGTGGCATGATGATGGCATCCCCTAACTCACAGCAAAGGCTGGTGTCAAGAATACTTGTCCTGGCTGGTGATGGCAATGGCTTGGGTGTGGGGTCAGTGTCATCCGTCCTTTAGTGGGAAGGCCCATTGTCCCTCTCGGCTCTCCAGCATCCTACGACAAATAACCCATCTTGTTCTATCGTTGGATCCTTCTAGAACTACTCAGCCAGCCCAAGGGCACCTCTGTGCATAAGGTTTCCAGTGCATGTGTGCTTTAGACACACTGAGACCATTTAAAATGGTTTCCGTCATCTTTGCACGTGTCTCGGTGCCCCTGGACACTTTCCTAACCGCTGAGTCTGTCCAAGAAAAATAACAGAGTCTGGTTAGTTAGGACTTTGAGGTCTCATTTCCAAGGCACATTTCCAAGGCACATGGCACTTGTAATTCACCAAATGGAAAGACCTGGTTGTTTGATCTCCAAGGGCTTTGACCTTGAAAGGCCTATGTGGCCCTTTGACTCTGTCACTGTGAGTCAAAGCCCACTTAACAGCAGCCAAATGCATCTCATGTTCAGGGAGAAAACGCTGTGAATGGCTCCTCGGAAAGTGGGCTGCTTAGAGCAGGCCCCTGCAGGTGGCAGCCATTCCCCCATCCAAAGAACAAAGGCTCACCCTTCTCATTGATCTCTGGCTGAGCGGGGAGAGCCGTGGGGGGAGAGCACAGAGGACAGAGAGCCAGCAGGAATCCAGGAGTGTGGAGGGTCCCACCTGAAGGACCCTAAGTAGTAAGCGCATCCTTTTCTCTGAGCACACACCAATAGCAGGTGCGCTGGCGTCTTGGTGTCTTAGGGTTCCCAGAACAGACATTCCATCCCCTGTGGTTGGGTGCTCTCCCAGCTTTGGGTGGCCGCCTGCAGTCCTGGGCTTTCCTTTGCAGCTAATGGGGGCCTCTGTGTCTTTGTCTAATCCATTCTTTGTATAAGAAATGACTCCTGAGGGATTAGGTTCAGGGCCCATCCTGCTCTGAGGCAAAGTCATTCGCATATCAAAAGTAGACCCCCAATTTCCAAACAGAGCTGTGTTTGCAGGGGTCCTGGTTGGTCCTCCAACATAGCTCTTTGGGAAACAGTTCCAGCTACAGCAACGGGATTCATGGAAACTGTCCGTGCCTTCTTAAAGCACCTGAGCAGCTAGGACTGGTCTGAGAAACGTTGCAGCAACTGCCTGTGTTTGCTCCGGATGTTGTTTTAGAGAGCAGGCCAAGTCTTGTGCAAGATGGCATCTTTTGGGTGAAGTTTGCCCACCCACATGCCCACCATGAGTAAGGGAGACCAAAGAAGAATCCATGCCCTTGAAGTATGGTGTTGGCAAAGAATATTCACTCTCCCCTGGTCTACCAGAAGGGGGCACAACCCTGTCTTGGAAGAAGTACAAACAGAAAGTTCCCAGAAGAGGGGCTGGGGGGTTTTGTCTCACGCGTGTTGGGCATGCTCTCAAGAGGGGTCAGTCAGTGAGGAAGAGGACGTGGTACTTGGTAAAGTAGAGGAAGAGCCTCTAGCAGATGGACGGACACCCTGGCTGCAGCAACGAGCTCAAAGGTGACAACCTTCTGAGGGTGGCACAGTGCTGGGCGATGTCTGTCTGTTCTGTTGTCCCGTCGAGTGGCTGTGAGTCAGAACGAGGGCACCGCACATCAACAGCGGTCATCACCAGGACTGGCCCCATGTGGATTCCTCACTTGTGGGGAGACGTTAGGGTCCTGCCTCATCACCTGGAAGGAACTAGAGTAGTTCTGACATGTCAGGCGGCGGCAACGGACAACACAACACTGTGGTGGGTGCTGCGGAGTCTGTTCTGATGCACGGGGGCCCTGTGGGACAAAGTGCACGTGCCCCTGGGGCTTTAGAGGCTGCAGTCCTGGGGGAAACGGATCGTCGGCCTTTCTCTCAACGGGTTGCTAGGTGGGCTTGAACCAGTTATCCACTGAGCCCCGTCCGCAGAAGCTGAGCCCGGATCACCGCTCTTCAGCCTCGCCCGTCCTTGCCCTGGCGCTGCGCCCTTCTTTTCTGTAGGCCACGATGGCCCTGGCTTACCTTGGCCTGCCCCTTCATCAGCACGATGTTGCAGATAACCGAAGCCTGGAGACCCCCGGAAGGCTGCAGCAGCTGAGCTGTGCTCTGGGACCGTGTTGGTCTAGAAGTGCCCTGCAGGGAGCAAGCCAGGGGGACAGAAGGTGAGCCACTCAGGAGGGGACCACCGGCCCGACAGGGAAGGAGGAAGGCCCCCTACAAAGAGGGACCTTCTTTGGCACACAGCCTGGGGACCAGAGTGTTGTTAGTGGGGTGTGGGTGGGCAGCGGGCAGGAAGGGGGTTGCTTCAATAGCCCCAGGAGTCTACTTCGGGAGCTCCATCTCCCCGCAGACCAGCAGTGGCTAACAGCTCACTCGAGCTTGATCCAAGTGACATCTTTTCTCTCTCATTCTCTATGACTATTATAACCTTTATATAGCTCAACCATACAATTGCGCTTACTGAATCCTCAATTAGCTATGTGGAGCTGGCTTCCCCCACATCGGAGGGTCAAACCCATGCAGTGGTGCATGGGAGAAGGGCCTGGCCACTCGTTACCAGGAAGATTGTTGTTCTTGCTGCTGCTGCGGGCCATTTGCACTCTGCTCACAGCCTAGCAAACCCTACTGGGGCAGCTCCGCTCAGTCCCAAGGCCTCACTGGGAGCCCAAACCACCTACCCGGCAATGACGCGCATGGGCGTGGGAGCTGTTGCTAGCGCCTGGTAGGAGGGGATGCTCAATAAAGGACCCTTCCCAAGGTCAAGAACGCTGGCCCTGGCCTCCTCGGTTTTGTGGCATGAAGGTTACAGAGAAGGGCTATTTCAGCCACTGCTGGGCTGGAGAAGCGGTCCCTTTTTCCTCTCTCCTCCAGGCCCCCCGCCCGTCCCTCCTCCTTACCAAGGTCTTTCCTGCCGGGCACTCGAATTGCTGGGAGAGTGACTTCCTGCTGCTGCAGAGAGAACAGGGCTGCCTGTCCGGGGTTCCCACCGCGTGCTTGGGCTTGGTCGTGGGAAAGTCCGTTTCCGAGCAGTAGGGATTAACACCTGCATCGGAGCGGGAGAAAACAAGAAAAAGGAATCCCTTTGAACACCGTCCGCCTCTGCCAGGGGCCAGGGTGAACATCAGCCTCTTAGCAGCCAGCCTAGGTGCCCAGTGGGCAGAGGGACAACGAGAAACAAGGGAAGGGCAGACTCGCTGTCCGCTAGTGCATGGCACTGTTCTGGCCTCCCTGGATGGTGCAAACGTCTAAAACCCTTCGCTACTAGCAGAAAGACCGTTTGAGTCGACCCGCAGGCCCCTCAGAAGACAGGCCTGGCCAGCTCGCTCTGAAGAATCTGCCCTTGGAAGCAAGCGCTACAGAGCACAGTCTCATTCCTCCCTGCCCAGGGTCCCCCAGAGTCAGGAACGCTGGAGGGCAATCATGCTTGCTCTGTTGCATTTATTGTTTGACTTGATAGCCCAGGGGGTGCGGAAATGTCACTCTGCAGTCCTCTATTCAATGCAAGGCTTCTAGCACCTGCAGGCCAGCCAGCATGGCTTCTCAGGAGGGACAGAAGTGGGTTCTGAGACAGGTTCCAAACCAGGGACACAGGGGAAGAAGGCTGGGAGACTGGCCAGCACAGCACCCCACCTCCCCAAAGACTCTGCCTCTTACACACGCATGCCTGCGTCCACACACACCCCTCAAACACCACCCACAAAGGAATGAGCCCTTGATCCTCTGGGAAATCTATGAGAATGAAAAGGATCCCACTTCGTCCTCTGGGTGGGGATCCTAGACTCCCTTTCCCCCGCCTAGGAACAGGGGAGTCTCTTCTGAGATTCCCTGATGTAGCCCCTCACCGTCTGGCACTGTCCGCTTAAAATAACATGCACCCCCACCCATATCATTTCAAATCCTCCAGTGGTCACTTTGAAAAGGAAAAGGTGAGATGACGGTCAACAGGCTATTTCCTTTCCTGTGCAAACTCAGACACAGACGCGTTGCTATCCGGCCTTGCTGTGCGCCCTAGAGGACAGAGTCCGGCTGTCCCCCGGGTTTGCAGGGCTGTCACATTCAGGGACACTGCCTCTCGCCCATGGACAGACTGTCTTCCTGCTGCCGACCATTCAGTTAGTGGCTAGCTGCTTTAATGACTGCCCCTCCAGGGCTCTCCTGTTTGCTCTAAGGGGTTCTCATTTCAGCATAGCAGTCATCAAAACTAAGTCATGAAAAAAATCAATTAAGTCCTCAACATGATTCATGGTATCCTGTTATTTTTATATGACGGTACCCAGCCTTTGAATCCGGGGCACACTTCACACCTACCGTGCATCTCCAGTGCCACAAGCCTTCGTTCAGGTCCTCAGGGACCACGTACACGTGACTCACCTAAGCCCACACCGTGCCCACTGCCATGAAGTCCACTGGGACTTGTGACCTCACCTGTGTCAAAATGGAACTCTGCTCCAGTGTTTGCGGTGGCTGGTTTTTCAGAGATCGATTGCCCGGCCTTTCTTTAGAGATACCTCTGGGTGGACTCGAACCTCAAAGGCTTCAGTCAGCAGCCAAGTGCACCAACCATTGGCGCCACCCAGGCATTCCCATGTGTGACTAGGGACTCCTCCATCCGTGCAGGTCTGGAGGGTCCAGGTCAAGAGGCAGTTGTGCAAATAGAGCGAGGGAATATGGCAGGGTTTCAAATCGGGGTTGTATCCTCCCCCTACACCCGTTTCATCTGATGGTGAGCCAATCATCCAAGAAGCTGGATGGCATGAAGAAGAGTATGCCATCCGTATTAGAGAAGGCTCGTTAGCAACCCGAGACAGGCAGATGTTACAGCCTGGCCTGCTGAACGTGAGGACGGGAAGCCCTGCTGATGGAGATCAAAGACTGCATGCTTCAGTGTGAACTGGGAATCAATGTAAAGGAAGCCCAAATCCCCACAAGTGGATCGGTATGCGACATCATGATCAATGGAGAACAGATGGGCGTTGCCAAGGAACGATCATGCTTGGATTCCCAATCCAAGCAGCAGTCGAGAGATGAAAGAATGTATCGTCTTGGTTAATCTGCAGCATAAGACTTCTTGAAGGTGACGAAAAGCAAAAATGTTACTTTGAGGACTAAGGTATGTCTGACCCGAGCCGTGGTATTTTCAATTGCCTCATTTGAATACGGAAGTTGGACCTTGAATAAGGAGGAAGACTGACAAACACTTGATATATTGGAATTACAGCGCTGACACGGAATACTGAAAGTCCCAGGGACTGCCAAAAGCAGAAATAAATCTGTCTTGGAAGAAGTGTCGCCAGAATCCTCCTTAGAGGCAAGGATGGTGAGACGCCATTTCAAGTAATTTGAGCATGCTGTCAGGAGAGAGCTGTGCCTGGAGAAGGACGTCATGCTCGGTAAAGTGGAGGGGCAGCGACAAAGAGGACGGCCCTAGATGTGGTGGATGGACAGAGTGGCTGCAACAATGGGCTCAAACAGAAGAACCATTGTGAGGCTGTCTTGAGACTGGGCAGGGTGTCCCTCTGTTGTAGTTAGGGTCCCTGTGTCATGGAAGTGACTTGGTGGTGCCCAACGACACCAACAACAGATGTCCCAAGGGGTCAGGGATTTCCTGATGCTCCTCCACTTAAGTGAGTGGCAAGGCTTTTGTGGAAACTCCCCAAGAGTTCAGTGAGGGTGCCAATCAGAAAATCTTGCATGTGCTTTTAATCTCCAGATGAGAAAGACGATAGTTTGGTTATAGACTGAAGAGAAGTCACTGGCCAAGGGGTGTTGATGAAGCAGGAGAGCATGGGCACCCCCAGGGCATGACACCCCCAAAAGGAGGAACAGGAAAGGGAAGGAACACTGTGGTGGGGAAAGCACAAGTGTTGGCCCCACATAGCTGTGAGCGGGGCTGGGGAGGTGCTTCTCTTCCAAGGCAGCAGCTTCAAGTTGTTGAGTCAGTGCAGATGGGTTGTCCTCTCTGACTTACAGGGACCAGGAGGCAGGGAGGAAGCCAGTGGGTTCAGAGCACCCGCACACACTAAACGAGGGGCATGGAATCATGGATGGGGCCGGGGAGGCGGACTAGAGATGCGGTCATCTTAAACCTCCCTGGCCATCACCTTTACCTGGGTGTTTCATGAACACGTAGCAATCAGTGCCCCTCCCAGAACTGAATCATGGAGAATGCTCAAGCATTGAGACCAGCAACACTGAACAGCTTGGGCAGAAATGGTTGAATGGGAGCCTCAACTTCTCCATAAAACTGTCACCAACAGCTTACTAAAAATGACTCAGTAAATAAAACGTAGGATACACCACTCTATTCTGAGTCAACACAAGTAGGAATTGACTCAGTGGGTACTGATCATAGTAGTAGCTAGCACATGGTCCCCAAGTTCCTCTCTAGGGAATGATGGTACAGGGGTGAAGGGTGGGGATATAAGTAATGATAAAAACCCTAATGGAAGTGACATGCCCAGATGTCTGCACACCCGTGTTCATCCTCACACTACTCACAGCAGCACAAGAAGTGACAACCTCAGTGTCCATCGACAGATGAAGAGAGAAGTAAACTGCTCTGGGACACACCCATACCCTGGAACACTACTCAGCAGAAATGGGAAACGAGTTCCTGAAACATCTTACCGTAGGGAGGAGCCTGGAAGATGTTCTGTTCAGCTACGTTAGTCAATCACACACGCCAACAAACAAATGTGCTCTCACGTTCATGCAATGACATGAAGAGGCAGCTCGGTGAAAGCGAATGTTCACGGGTGGTTTTCGGGAGTGCAGGGTGGAGAAGGGCGGACGTACTCCTTTGTCAGTAGCCACTGTCCTTGTCTAGAACTGAATGGGAACGTTAGCACTCCATACGGGTTAGTTTCACACAGCGTGACCGATGCAACTGACAGGCAATGGCTGTACACGGGGGAAAGGGATGCAGGAACAAAGGCTGGCTAACACTAACAACAATTGATAAAGACGCGAGGCTATTGATGCTGACCCTAATTAAATATACCAAATCAGCTCACGGGCCACGTCCTCTTGGTTGGGTCTGTGGTCTTATGAGGCAAGCCCATCAAGGGGCTGAAGGTAGTTGGTACAGCTTCTGGTCTATCTCCCAGGATGGTGAACAGAGGCTGGA